TTAAATGGTTGTATTATTTAGTTATTAGATTTCAATTATAATGTTCATAACCGGTTGCGTATGTTTTTCACCAAAAGATATGAAAACACGAAATATGAAATAATTTTATACAAATCGAGATGACTCACCTTCTTTATAACCACCTCTTCTTTAAGTGGTCTCATTTCTTGGAAATAGAAGTCATAGTTTGGATCATCATAAATCGGTTTCAACTCAGTTCCGTTCCGAAAGTGCCTCGTTCTGATACCGGAAGCCAATAAATGCGCGTGTTGGAAGACCGCAGTAATTCTGATCTCGTCTATACTTTCATTGTTTAACACCTTTAAATGAAAAATTAAAACATAACTTTATGTTAGGAAATATGTATCACCAATTAAAACTTAATAAAAATTAAAAGACAAAACATCATTTTTTCTATAAGCAATTACATGCATTTTACATTTATAAACATAACCCGGTGACAATTAATGACATTATATACACCTTTTAATGGGTTTATATGATTAACCATGTAAAAATTGTTCAAACTTTCAATATAATTTAACGCTGTTAAAATTCTTCATTCAACTGTGTACTGGCTAATCTCTGTGCAGACATACACCAACATACATCTTGAGCACCAGTGTTGGTTCGTCTCAGATCGGGTTGCTTTATTGCGCTACAACTACGAAAACTTAAGTTAGGTGAGTTTCCTGGTGATTTCAGTACTTTTTTTTTCAAAAATGAAAATGGTATTTCGACCCAGCTTCTGTTACATCATGTGTATTTATTTACTTAGCTCTCGTGAATATGTATCTTATGAGAGTTCATATTAAATTTAAGCACTACAAGCTTAGAAGAAATGTTTCAGTCATTTTACTTCTAAAAATAGGTTACGAGGATAACTAGGATAGGATGGCTTCCCGAACGCCCCAACCCCTCCCCAAATCCAGCTTCTTTTACGATGAGCATAATGAACAAACCATGTATTTGTAACTACCTTATTGATACACTTTTCAGTACAATAACCACTGGTTACAAACGCTGGTTCCCTTGGTGGGATCACTTGATATGGTGTTACCGAATGACTAACAATAAGCGAACCAACATCATGTTGTCGCAGTTTCGGGGTAAGTAGCATTCTTATTCCAGAATTGTCCAGAATACCTGTAACACGTGTAAAATTACATGTATCAGCATAAAATAAATTTGACAACAACAAGAACACGAAACAAAACAACAACAGCAAAAACGTAATAAATGCCATATTTATAAATTTTTGTGTTCGGCACTTTAAATAAAATACAGGCTGCATAACTTTGTTCGCCGACGGCAAATGTATGTCAAACAGTGAAGGCTTTCTGCTAATTTAATGCCAAGTTTCAAGGAATGTAACATAAATCTTTACATTCTCTGTTCACAGTTAAATTATCAGTTATCCCACGTTAAGATAAAAATTATATATATCATGTGCAGCAATTGTCAGTGACAAACATTTTTGATAGAAATAATGGTAGAGATGGTCTCGAAAACTAATTATGTTACGTCAACAAATCAGCAATTCGAATATCTTAATATCCGGGTCACGGAATCGGGAATTTATACAGTCTCGAATAACCCTAATTGCATAAAATACCTGATTTATGTGTTGGGTTGTCATAATGAATCTGCATGACCATTAGAGAACCTTCGTTATCGTTTGGACCTCCGATGGGATATCCGGTGTTCTCTGGGAAATAAAATGGCTGCAAAATGACAAAAATGAAAACTTTTACAGTTTTTCAGAGGTTCCGGTTATCAGAGTTTTTACTGTACCATTGTTACCAGATACATATTTTCTAATGTATGCTTACATGTACTGTTGTTACCACATATATATAAGCCGCGTCATGAAAAAACCAACGTAATGCGTTTGCGACCAGCATGGATCCAGACCAGCCTGAGCATCCGCGCAGTCTGATCAGGATCCATGCTGTTCGCTTACAAGCCCTATAACAAGTAGAGGATCTGATAGCGAACAGCATGGATCCTGATCAGACTGCGCAGATGCGCAGGCCGGTCTGGATCCATGCTGGTCGCAAATGCACTATGTTGGTTTTGTCATGACGCGGCTCATATATGTATTTTATATGTGCTTATTACTTTTCTTTATAGAATGGTTGTTTCATCAAGTTTAAAGAATTAAAGTATTCTACATAAACATGTGTAAATATAAAAGTGTTCTTTTTTATCAAAAATGTGTTCGTAAAACCTACCCCACCACCGGTTGCCCAAGCAATGAAGATCTCCGAACATACTGGCCAACCTTTTGGCCAGGACAAGAAACATTCCCCTTGCGCATGGTTCAAATTAGGGAAATCCCCTTTACATCTTTGAATAACTAGATGATGGATTAACCTCTCGTTTCCGGGTGTTATGATTGGTTCAAACTGAAAAGGAGTGCAATAAATAAATGTATAGACCTTATTTACCATAAAAGTGTGCAATATTGTTTTATCAACAAGATGACTTGACGAAATTTTTGACTATTAGCGATTAACGTTTAACTTATGACATCATTACAATCTAAATCTTTACAGCAATTTGTTAATTACATGTACAAGATGGCACTTTGAATTTAACATGACGCTGTAACTATAAAAATATATATAAATTGGTTAAATGGGAACATGTTATTGAACAGTCGGAGATGGCGTACCTGGATCACATGATGTTTAGCTCCTAGGTCCGGCAGTGTTTGGGCTACACACATGTAGGTGGTATCCTTGTCTGGGACAATATACTGAAATACATGTATATACATTTTATATCGCATAAAATTTATTACCCTTTACTTGCTTGAAGCGAAATCGAATATCGTTTCCCCAGACTATATACCTTTGACAGATCAGGTTATTACTTTGCATCTAAAACTGGCACTGAGAACATGGAGAATTCATGTACGCTTATTAGAGATTATACGAGATATTACTACAATTATTTAACATGTCACACCAGTATACATAAGTATTGAATATTTTTGTATAGCAATTAATAAAAATTCGTACATTTCCGGCGGTGAAGTCGTATACTTTCGTTTCTTCGTAATTTACAGATGCCGGGGCCTTGTTGCTATTCAGCAGTGACACGCTCTTGGTCCCTCGTCTCTCTCCACCATGATACATTAGGCTGTGCTCATCAGTAGGGTCATCAGGATGGTAAGAATATATCACTCTCTGTGTAGCGTTCTGTTTAATAAGTATAGAATACAAGTTATAAAGTTAAATTTAACTGTGTATTTGCTATGCTCATTGCACTAGCATGCATTGGCTCTGTGGTCAACAGCGAAGGATACAACTACAAAATGCAATACTTTCTTTATGACTGTAGATTATTTCATCATGATGGCATTTATTTGAAATCATTGCGTTTCCAGTCCACATTTCATAAAACAATTCCAGTTTACTATCGGTTTTTCAAATTCTTCATGTTTTTCATGTAACAAAAATAAATAGCCCAAAATGAACCACTTTGCCGTCTGTATTGAATAACGAAAAATTGAAAAATAATACTCAAGTCTTACAAGTTTTAAAACATGCAGTAAATCACAAGCTACTAAATTTAGTAAAATATTTAGTAAACAAACATGTATAAAAGAGTTTACGTTTATTTCTATGTCATCCTTGTCACATGTGTTGAGTTTTCTGGTAAACTTGAGAACCGTTCCAAAGTCGTTCTCCTCGCCGTGTAACAGTATCCAATCTTGAGACTTGTCGACAACTGGTGCTGAATGTCCGGTTGTGTGGCGGTCCTGCAAATACAACATTCAAATAAATATTACATAGTTACGTTAATTACAAGCTGGTTATGCTTTCCGGTACAGTGACCAGAATGTCTTACATGGCAAGATGCGAAACAGTTTAATTACATAGTTTGACCCGGGACTTGAACCATGGTAGTCGGGAAACAGCCCTTTCGGTCCGACGAACATAAACAGTATAAGAGGTTACTCTTGTCAATCAAATAGGTCAGGACCGTACTCATTTTTTGAACACTACGCCGAATTTCTTTATCGAAAAATGACGAAAATAGCCGAAATGATGCGAGAGACAATAACACATGTGTTGGGATATAGTATTGTAAATAAACGAATAACTATAATAGACCGATCTAAGAGGATCTATAATATATATTTATTAAATGAAAATAGGATCTAAATGTGTATGATATAAAAATTATAACATAACTCTTTACCTTGAAGAAGACCTTTCCGTCTTTCACCCAGCCGACAACGACGTCCGAAGGGAACATGTTACCATTTGGAGACAGACCGAAGCCAACATAGCCTCTAGTTTTAACTCTGACCTCAAAGGTCACATGGGTACTATTGAAGTTCCAGAAAAGAAGGTAATTACCTCCCTTGTCTAGAGTCAGGCTGTTATTAAACGGTTCTGTTGTACTGACTCCCTGCAGAGCATTTGCGTGGGTCAATGTATATAGTACTAAAACTGAAATGAAAAAAAAGATGGTGTTATTATATGATAGAAAAGTAGATAGGTACCCGACAGATCTAACTCAAATCTAAGAACGGAATATTTATAAATAATTTCCGTATATGTCAAATCGTATTTTTCATGTAGTTGTCTAATAAAATAGCGAAGTAATTCAAATGAAATTTTACCTATTGATAATGTCCTCATTTTGATGATCTTGTAGAATTATATGGGTTCAGTGCGAAAATGCCGGTATTTATACGGATACCGTGTACAGTATACTCTGTTTATCTCAGATTTGTAACGCTCTCGTGACTGTGCTTTATTTTGACTCATACAAATTTATCTGACAAAAAAGCTCTTCAATATGAAAATCAGGTCATGTACAATTTATAGGTCATTATTGATATCTTTTTAGGTATTATTCCCATCTTACCACTCTCTGTACACCGACACTGTGTAGGGTACTGTTATACCGGTGCCTTTCAGACTTTCAGTACATGATTTCAGGCACTTTAGATTCGGTTAGCCCTGACTGGATAATATATTTCATGTTACGGAAAATCACTCGGTTTCTTTTTTTTTTCAAAAACATTTATGTTTCTTAAGTGTTAGACTACATTAAAAAAAAGAAATATTTGAAAAGAAATTAACGTAATTAGACAACACAAAAAATAGAACATTTTACATGAAGTTTTACCAATCGTATGCTACCATCCTTTGAAGATCACATTGTACGTAATGCCGACGGACGCCTATAATGAGTTGAGAAAGACTCGACAGCCTACACATAAGTATGAGCAGAAACAACAACAACAAAAACAAAGCCAAACAAAACAAAATAACTTATACGAAAATAAAATCATGAAAAAAGATACAAATATATAATTAAAATTATATTGAAATGATATATCAAATGCGCTTCAAAGGTCCGTATCAGTAAAAGCGTTTATTTTGTTAAAAAACGGAATAAGTGCAATGATTTTTTTTCATTTTCGTTTAGTCAAGGAATTGTTCGCTTGATTTTTGCTGCGAGCTTGAACTGCTTTCTTGTTTACAAACATACATACAACCTTTATGGACTAAAATTGAACTTTGGTTTGGCAAATGGGATTTTGTTTCAAAAATATCATAAATTTGTATCCTTATCAGTCGGCCTTCAGGTGGGTCGCAATTTCGCAACGGTACACAATGACTAATAGAGAGTCACGCGGCGTCTTACTCAGGTAAATAAACAACTGAGTACAACTGAGTACAGTTAAACTAACAGTGATAAAATCAGATATGTTAAAAGTTTAAAAGTACATAGATAAAACACAATTCATTATATGACTTGTTGTTCGTTGTTTATATATATATAAACAATATATATATATATATATATATATATATATATATATATTTATATTATTTGTTATTTAGAAGATTTAGACTTTACTACATGTTTGTCTCAATATTTTGACTTCAAGACCGACTGATTTTATAATCTTATTTTTTCATAGATGTCTGTCTTTACGAAGGCCGACCATCATCTATATAATAAAAAGCCCTAAAACGCACAATTTGTTGGGCTAACTACATGTAAGCTTAAATTTGATATTTGAAAATGTGATAATTTCTACAGAGTCTGTTTGTAAACATAAAATTAAAATGTTTTTATTTCACGCAAATTAAACATGTTGTTTTTAAGCGCTTCATACTTTAGATGGACACACTAAGAATAAGTAGTGATGTTCGTGAAGTTGGCAGTCTAGCAGCCTGAAAGCCTAGCAGCCTGAAAGCCTGACCCTGGCAGCCTAGCAGCCTGAAGTATTTATCCTAGCAGCCTGGCAGCCTAGCAGTTTAAAGAAAACTAAGGATAGTACAAACATGAAAACGGTTGGAAATACATCAGTAGCACTTCCTTATATCATTCCATGCCTTTTTTCAATGTCGTGATCTTTTTTTAAGATGTTGAATTTGATCTTAACATAATTTTTTATTCTGACGCTATGAAATTAGTGAAGTTAGCAGCCTGGCAGCCTAGCAGCCTAAAGAAAACTAAGGACATGAAAACCGTCGCAAATGAATCGATAGCACATACTTAGACCATTTATGCGTCACAAAGACTTATGGTAACTGCTCATTACGTGTTTGTTACTAGTCCGTCGATATCTGATGACTATCTGTATTCGGAGACGGACGAGTAAAGAACGCCACTATCAGAGACGTACTAAATGTACAATGCAGAAAACCAATACATAGAAAATAACTAACTGACATCTTAGATTTCGCCCAAACTGCAAGGAACATTCACATTTTTATCAAACACATGTGTTCTAAATCAGCACATCGAACGACGTCTTGGTTTACATTAGCACATAATTTTGAGATGACCTGAGAATAATAAGCATTTAATCTTGTATATTTCAGTAAAGCAGTATATTAGAAGGGAGGCAATTCCGGCATGTCATTATGCTCGTATGTATACTAGTTATTTCCCTTTACAAGTATTTAGTCATATTATATTATAACTTATATACATCAAATTGTCAATATTGTACTTCGTGAATTTCCAATCTAATGTTCCTATACAGCCATGGACAAAACACTGCCAAACCTGATATCCCTCAGTAAAACATAATCGATCTAAGAAAAGAGTTGTTTGTTTTACTGTTCCCTCTGCTAATAATAAAACAGTTAAAACGATGTCAAAATTAAAACATATAATTCTATTTAATATAAAATCACAGTAAAATATCTTATTTTCTTTCCCCAGGCACCTGAGAAAAAATGTACGTTGACTTGACTGTAAAACTACCACAATTGTCTTTAAAACAAGCTATAACACTAGCTTTTCTCTCGTATAAACTTTAAGTGATAATGATTTTGGCAATATATATGACCCTATATCAACGGTTGCTTACATATATGCAACAGCGTCATATAACATGTCAGGAATCTTAATAACAAATTCATAATACAGCAACCTTCCTTTTAAGAAAAAAAAACAACACATTAATTTGGAAATGGGACCGCAGATTGCGACGCGTATTTCCGATCGTGTAACGGTTTTTACAATGCTGACATTCTATCTCAGGCACAGTTTTTCCCGACAAAACTAACAACAAGTAGTTCTCAAAACAGCTTAAAACTAGCGATGTAAAAGAAAGAAATATTTTTATTTGTATCTATCAATTGTTTAAAAGTAGCTTTGGCTTATAGAATTGTCAATAAATGAACACCAAAAAATTACGCGGATGAATATAATTTTAATCAATTAAAATAGTTCGGCTATTTCCGTAAGGCCTCGGATTATTGTGATCGGAATTAAACGCCCTTTAATGAACATTTGTTATTCAGACATTCTTAAAAAAAGTAAAGATGTTGACTCTAGGACAGGGACGAATGTGGGGCAGTCGACGATCGATAATCAATTTCTAAGTTAAGCGCCCGATAATTTAATGCGCGTTAACAAAATGCTATTTTTAGCACTGTCGATTACCCTACACAAATAAATTTGACTATCCAGTAGTGAAATCTATACATGTCGGACTGTTTGAGCGAGAAGATTTTCACCAAATCAAAATCATCAGTGTTAAACAACAGGTTTAGCTAGAAATTATTAAGAATTAGAAACCATAAATTGAAATTCTAAATGGTTTTAAACAGACGTTTCTTAAATAACATCACCGTAGCCGAGGGGTTACGCGTTCGTTTACAATGTAAGAGGTCTGGAGTTCAAATGTCAGTCGTGGCAACTATTTTTATTTGTTTTGGTCGTCAGATCAAACTAATAATGGTAGCGCAATTTCAGACCCTGATGCTGTTAATTTCAAATGCCGAAAGTATTCTGCTTTTTGAAGCGGTTACTTCCCTTTATTTGACACTAACGCAGAAAAATTCAGGGAGATCAAAAAAAAATTATAACTATTTTAAGTCAAATAAACTTGAATTGAATATCAGTGTTGCAATTAGTGCAATTAGTTTTAAAGTCAATTTACTACAGTTAAAACACTGGAAAGTATTGGTGGCTCTATACAAAAACATATGTGGTTTATAATCTCACAACCTTCACTTTTCTGACATTCTGAGACCAAAATAAATTCAGCGCCTTCTGTGCTTTGATTTTTAATGTAATAGGAATATTTAGTATTTATATATATATAGTGTGGTTATCGACCTTCTTGTGAGGTGGGGTGGGGGGTTAAGACATGTATTCCCTTCATGTGCGACGTACTACTTTTTGAGCTAAGTCTCCCTGCATCGTTAGCATCATGATTATGTTATATTGAGCAGGGAAGTAACTGCTGTAGTGAGTTTGTCTCTTTAAAAAACTCCTTAAAATGGCTTCATTAACTTCCTCCACAAAATTCAAGTGACCATAAAAAAACGACACACAATTTCAAACGGAGGCAAACTATAACTATGCTACAGAAAATTTTTTGAGTCTTCATTGTGTCAATATGATGGAAATAAGGCGAATAATACCAAACTTATTCATAAACTGAATATAATTTCAGGCAAAAATATTGAAGATTGTTTCTTAACTGATTGCAATCATTTTACCTTACGAAGTTACAAACTGATGCGTGCACGATCGAAAGTACCCGCATAATAATGCATTTTATTTTATTTTCCAGCAATTAAATGGCAGAACGTTTCATTCAAATACACAAACAGGAAATATATCATTATCAAATTAATTATTCTGCATTACTTTTATCAAACTTTTGATAATGACGGTGGTATGTGTAGCAAAGCGAAGGGAAACTACTGCGTAGGAGTTTGCTCTATAACGTGACTGCAGTTACTTCCCCTGACGTTCTCAATAGCCGGCATGATGGTTGGACTTTGTTTTAATTTATTATTTTTGGAGGGTTGCAGACGTTGTGTAAGTTATTAACTTTTAGCCACGATTATTTGTGTTTACAGTCTTAGCTGCTAAATGGCTTAATTGTCACGAATATAAATATAATCCTTTATATTTTTGGTTAATGTGAAAAATTTGAAATAAGCAGAAGACACTTTTAGCAGACAACACTTTTCTGAGCAAGAGAAAGAGTAATGGCGAAGCTAACAATTCTAATTTCTTTTTCATGGTCAGTCAATGGTCAGTCAAAAACAATACGACATTACTTTTATTTCCCATTTTCTTTTATTTTGGTGTCTGTCCCAGTTCCAACAAAAAGGTTACTTATTGGCTATACATCTGATCTATCTGTTGCTTCTTTTGCATTTTAGAATTACGTCGGTTATAATAGTGATTAGTGGTTTTTTACATTCGGTTAATTTAATGACACAATTTATCACATTAAGCGCTACTTCTTTATATTATTGAAATAGTATAACAGACATATTGCCCTT